ACTACCCAGCCCCTACTCTCCTGCTCCAGGTCTTCACCACCCTATTGCCCATGACCATGGGCTATGCATTTAAGTATACTAGAGGCCCAGTGCACAAATTTGTGCACCTTGAAATGAACTGTGGGCCGCGAGGCTGCAGTGGGCACAGGGGCAGGTCTCGGCCCATCCTCCTCGCTCCCAGTCCCCTGTCTGCCGGCAGCCCCACTCCCGTTGCCACCACTCCCATGCACTGATGGCACCGGCCCCGCTCGTACCCTCTGACAGTGCAGAGTGATTGTGGCTGGTGCCAGTAGTGGGTTCAAGTGGGGCCGGCACCGTCAGAGGATGTGTGCGGTGGCTGCTGCCCTGATTGCCCCTCAGAAGCAGGGGGAGGTGGAGAAGCCCTCAGGGGTGACCAGGACAGCGGGTGCGAGCGGAGCCGTCGCCAGCAGCAGGTGTGAGTGCCAGGTGGGACCGTGGCACATGGGAGCAAAGAATTTTCAGTAACCACCAGAGGCTTGCCCTGATGACAGCGACTGGCGCCCTGCCTTAGTCTGGCGCCCCTGCTCCACCATCCCCCTGTGGCAGCTGCCCGCCATGTTCCCCACTCTGCTGCCTGCTGCCAACACCTGCCATGTTCTACATGTACCCCCTGGTGGTCAGTGCACGTCATAGCGACTGGTTGTTTGGTTGTTCCACCGTTCAGTCTATTTGCATATTAGCCTTTCATTATATAGGATAAGTTCTTTGGTTTATCTCTCCTCATCCCCCAAACCTGACATGGTATGTCAGTCTGTTCCATACCGCCATGCTTCAGGTCGTATTTTGTTGGTCAATTCATTTTGTTCATTGGATTCCACAAATAAGTGAGATCATGTGATATTTGTCTTTTCCAGATTGGCTTAATTCACTTAGCATAATCAATAATCATAATTATAAAATACTTTTAAAAATTATGAACTGAAGAAGTTGAGGATCAACTGACTGTAACCAGCATATTCCTAGGATCACATAGTAAATATTATATAAATATAGATTTGTGATTATAATAATATTTGGAATTCAGTTTGTCTTAGTATTTTAATGTCATTTTGAATATATAATGACAATTCAAAGTCATTTCTAGAGTTTTGTAACAATGCCAATTTTATTTCACTTCTTACTACCTATTAAAATTTTATTCTAAAGTGGAAATGTTATTATAGAGAAATATATTTTTTTCTATACTCTGATTGGGATGTGATTTCACCCAAATAAAAGTATCTTGGATGTAACTGAAACCACTGGAATGTTCTGTGATTAGCTAGGGTGTTTTCCTAACACCACCCTCAAGATGGTAATGGACATAGTACTGGCTGTAATTCAGGATTTCATTTGAGATTTGGTTATTCGGTCTAGGAAGGACACATTATGAATATGGTCTCCTGGAGAAATTATGATAAAATTAACAGGTTGGATGACATTAAATAACTCATTTTAAAGTCTAAGAGTATCAGATACTACCATGACCCTAAATTTGTTCCTTACATATTTACCTTGTCAAACTACTATCTTGCTCAGGTTAACCCTTTTTAATTTTATTTTATGTTAAATAGAATGACTCATAAGGTTTACTTCGAAATATAGAGACTGTAACATTTCTCTGCTTTTTTCACTGTGTATAGCAATTGCTTTAATGTGTTGTGTTTTTTTCTTCCACTGGAAAATTAAACAAAGTTTGACAGTGAAATATTCCAATTGCTAGACCACAATATATGTATGAACCTTGCCTGATAGAACAGAATGTTGAAAGTAAATATTTCTCTAAACTCTGCCCCAATATGTTTTGTCTACTTTAGTACCAAAGAAATAATAATGACAATAATGCATAGCAGAGAACATAGAAGTGAACTGGAACATTTATCTATGAAAAGAGATGTGTTCTATGTTGCAAAAATCTTTTTTACAAAATCATAAATACTTGTTTCCAGGCCAGCACTATATTACTTATTTATATTTAATTGTTAGAAACTGATAAACTTTCTTGTGATATCTTAAAAATTACACAAATGTCATTTAATAGTTATCATAGGTATAACTCAGTTGTGTATTTCTCTGAAAATTGCAACATGCTAACAAATCTAATAGATATTAAATATATGTGTTTGCAACCTCTCAAGATTTTGTTAGCAGTCATTTAAGATCAGAATAAATTAATCTTTATTAAACTGAATTTTTATTAATGTAGTAAAAAAATGTACCTAAGAAGAAAAATGTAAACTTAAAATTCCAGAGATATGGGGAATATAAATTAGCTAGAATATAGTGTTACTGTAAAATTATGCATGTTCTGATTCATAAACTCCCATAATATAATTAATAAAAAAATATTAATTTCAAAATGGCATGATATAACTTGATACAATTGTACAAGATAAAACTTCACTATAACAATAGATAATAAATTAAGTCCTTGAAACTATGGTGGAGAACATGTAAAAGACTGTAAGCTACATAAGATCAGGGACTGTGTTTTTTGTGTTCAACTCTGAACCATAAGAATTTAGCAATGTGCCAGAATCATGGTAAGTAGAATATATTTGTGTACTGTGAATTAATAAATAAAAAATAATATATAATAATCCTATGTAATAAAAGCCTAATATGCTAAGTGTCTGTTTGTCTGGTCGGCTGTTCAACCAATCAAAGTGTAATAAGCTAATGATATGCTAAGGCTGCCCATCCACTCGCTATAATGTGCACTGACCACCAGGGGACACACAGTTGACCAGTCGTGTGCCCTGTAACTTCATTTACAACATTGGTGGCAATATTAATTTTCAATATGTAGAATTTCTATTTTTTTCTACTAGAGAGTAATATGGGATATCATCAGCAGTATAACTTGTTGCTGATCCTGGTTTATCTTCCTCGGACTTTGGCACCTCCTTTAACATGGTCTTCCTGAGAAAGACCTTAAACTCTTTATTTTCTCATATTTTATTTTTTTCATCAATACCAATTCCTTCATTTATTTAATAGATTTTGGTTGAAAACATATTTTAGGCTCTGGAAGACACAACAAAGGACACAAAACAGCAATTTATATACCCCCCCCTTCAGTGCCCATAATTGGTTTGCTGAATCTAGATGGATTCTATATTGCTAACACAGTCCATTAGGATAATTGTATTTTTGAATATGTAAAGTATCAGTGTGTAAATACTGAAGTAGGACTTTGTGAACTATAGGAATTAGTCATCACTCTATGTCAGGCATAAATAAAATAAGGTCTAAGAATCTGATTTAAAAACTATATATATAAAAGCCTAATATGCAAAGTATCCCCTAGGGAGTTCCACAGACTGGGAGTTCGATTGCTCGCTATGACGGCACTGACCACCAGGGGGCTGCGTGAAATGAAGGAAGGCCCTGGCCAGCAGCTGGCAGCTGGGGAAGGGAGGCCCCGGCCAGCAGCCGACAGCCCCTTGGGGCCTTACCCGTGCACGAATTTCATGCACTGGGCCTCTAGTCATAATATAACTATGATAATTTTATTATTTGAAGGCCAGGAATTAGAAGAAAGTGCTACTGGAAATGTGGCTTATTTTCAGTGTAGCTAAACCAAAACAATAAAATTATGTTAACAATAAAATTATGAGTACAGTATTTAGCACTGTCCTAAATGCTTTACATATAGTATCTTTATTCTAGCCTCCTTGTGAAGTAGGCATTATTCTTGCTGTTTTACTGATGGGTAATTTCAAAAGGAATTGTTAAATGTTCCTAACAAAAGTGCCATGTATCTGTGACTGAAGAACCTAAATCTTTCCACTGGAACATTGTTTAGTTATTATTATAAGATGTCTATGTCATGATTTACCAGCTATTGTTCCAATGGTAATCATCATTTTAATTGAATGAGTGTATATCAGGAGCTTGACATACTGTACTTCATTTCTTCTTTAAAATAGTACTGAGTAGTGAGCAAGAGGCAATTTATTTTAACAAATTGATTTAGAAATATGAGGTTAAGAAATGTCTTAGGAAGACTTTGCTTACAATTAAAACAGTTAATCAACTGAAAAATTTGATCCAGATACTTCATTTTACAGGTAAAGTATGTGAGACACCTGGAGACTAAGTGAGATAATTTTGAGTTGTAAGACTAGATCCAAAGTTTTCTCATCCACAAAATTCTTCTAATTCCAGTGTATTTTGCAATCTTATATGATTCTCTATTATTTTATCAAAAATTAAAACCACTCCTTTTATAGACATCTACTTCCCTCTCCTAAGATAAATAATGTCTTTCAAGGTGTGCTTCAAACCAAACTCTTCCTATTAGCTAGCGTTCCAGAAGGAACAGACATTGTGGTAAGTTATATTGCTTAAGTTGACCTCTCTCACAACAACCCATATCCTCCAGTCTCTACCCCAATCCTATGTAAATTTGCTTTGACCTTCTGTGATTCAGGAGAGAGGGACAGATATCTGTACATTTCTTAAAAGTGTAGGGTAGGAATCTATACCAAATTTACCACTCGTGATATAAAAGTCTCAAAACTTTTCTTCTAAGAAATAATTTTATAAAGAAAATATGATAAAACAATTCATGAAAAAGCTGCAGAATGGTTGAATGTGTTCATTCCCCTATCATTCTGAAAGTATTTCCCTTAACATTCATGGAAGTTACCTATCTTCCCAGTTATACTGTAAAGTGTGAAAGAGAAGATTTTGGAGGTGGGGGCTCATGAAGTTTGTTCATTGAGGTAACTTACATAAATAATATACAATGTAAATCATATATATTATCATTGAGAAAACAAAATATGAGCCAAGAATACATTTCTCTACATTTTTAGTTTTTACTAGCATTGAAAATTTCAAGGTTTATTTTGACTAGTGTCTGGCTTTCTAATTGACAAGCTAATTAGAAGTGTATGCTAGACTACTTGTCCATACCAAGTGTAGTGTGCAGCTGTCCTGGGGGAAAGACATGCGAGTGAACTTGTTAACACTTGAAATTAAGCAGCACTCACCCGAAAAACTGCCATTTCTTCCAGCAGAACTTCTTCTAAATCATGCCAAGTCTCTTTAGGAATTGAAACCACTTTAAGAACGGTTCCGACATCTTTGAGAGAAAATGGAGAAGAGCACAATTTAAAGAGACCTCAACAGAGTTTAGTGTTAATGAATGGATCCAGTATTGGACCAGAAAGAACATTTTGACCTCAGTCTTCCTTTTATTTTTTTGTTACAGAATTATTAAAATATTCATATGCCTTTCATGCAACTAGATAAACTACAAGCATAGCATAAAACTAAAATAATTTACTTTTTAGAAATAAATGAAGCTTTGAAGATGATATCACCCTGAACTTGCATTATTGAAAATATATATAATAATTACTAGGTTGGACTATTATTTTTAATCTAAATTGTCAGGTGTCTCAGAAAAAAATACAACAGAAATAATATCAGCTTTGACATGACAGGTTTTTCCACTCTTGTTATGAAATCAGGGACTACTATGAAGACTTAATGTAGTTGCAAAAAGCCAGGAATGTTGTCAAGCAACAGATACTTGTAGAGTGGTTAGAGCTTCAGAGCCTGGCTGCTCTTGTCACCTGAAAGAAAGCCTTTAGTACTTAGAGGCCCCTAAAGACAGCTCAATGACCATTAAGTGATGAATGACAACAACTTTATTTCTCAAAATAAACACCTTGGATTACTTACTGCAGTGTTTTTTTTCCAATAATTGGTTTATCAATTTTGGTTAATCAATTTTATAGTACTAAAGAATTTAAAATTCAGAAGCATAAATCATAAAAACTATTAAGTTGAATACATTTTACATAGATTTCAAGCATTGTTTATTCTAATTTTTAAATTGTTTTAATGACAAGAGCTGTCACTTTTATTCTAAGTTGGGTTAAGCAGATATTAATTTCCCAGTATTTATAGGCACATTCCTATTTCTTGATAAAATGAAGAACAGGGCCTTATTAAATTAAAAAATTTGATTCTTCAACATTTCAATTCTAATCAGCTGATCAATTATACTTTGTTTTAACTGGCTCATTTTAATCAAGTTTAAAGACTCATTATTTGAGAAGAAAATCTTGCCAGTAAAAAATAAGTTATGGCAGGAAAAAAATTCAATGTATTCATATCACTGATAACCATTTTCAGGGGATCAATATGATGTGATATATGAGATCAAAAAAGGTTGCTAGTGTATCCCTTGTAAAGTTAAAAAAAATTCCTCTTTTAAGAAGATCCTTCTATGTTTATAGGACCTCAGACTCCTTATAATACCAAAGATTAAAGGTAAGTTAGGTTAAACTACTTAGTGCCTCTGATGGGTCTCCAGTATCCAAACATCACTTTATCTGTGTTCCAGATCGAGTTTTACCGAGTAGTATTTCAAACAATTTCACACAAACTGAATCAGATTACTCAACTAGGATCAATACATTATGATGTGCTACTTAGTTAAAAGATAAAATTACTGTAATCAATTTACTTTGCTGACAGATGACCCAGGTCTGTGCTGACCGATAGCCATCCACATCATCAGACATTCAACACGCTCATGAAACTGGTTTCTTTAAGGACAGCATGTGTCCAAGTAGAATTAAAAACTCCTGATTGGGTTTCTTTGGTCAAATAGCCGAAAGCAAGCTTTTGTTGCACTGACAATGAGTGAGGGACTTCTCAACATGCTTAGGCCAGAGGTGAAGAAAAAGGCAAGTGTGACATTAGTGAACAAAATTATTTACTCTGTAGAGAGATCTAATTATAATTTGACATTAAATAATATACTAAAATTTATAAAAAAGAAATCATATCATCTTATAATTTCTAAACACATTTGTAATCAGAAGTTGATATTTGCAATTCACTGACTTTTATCAAACATTGAGTCTCATTGTGATTCTGCCATTTGATATAGAAACTTTCTCGTAAAAGTAGACTGTAATGTATTGCTCAGAACCTGACACTGTTACACCTGATAACATAGGTATTTCACGATTTTGTTATAAAACTTTAAGTCCTTAAAGCACTTACTCCAAGGTTGTCATTCCCGTGTAGTTAATGCAATTTTTAACCTCTTTCTCACCAAGGGAAAATAAATGTTATTATACCAGGTTTCAGTGGAGCACTCACCCAGTTTCCCATTGATTTATGTCAGTTAACAATGCTAATGGAGGCTAGGAATTTATTTCCTTGGAACTTGACCCTAAGTAGCAAGTTTCAAATTTGTAACTGGCACTTTCAAAATAGTATTATTAAAGAGAGTAGGGGAAAAATAAAATAATATGTCAAAATAGCAATGGAATTCTTTCTGAAAATATACCAGTAAAAAGTTTGTTTCTAATCAAAGAAATATTAAAATGATGTTGTTGAATTTCTATAGAAAGGTATCTAAGAATGTATGTGATGATCCCATAACTCCATTTTGTTGTTTTTCTGATATAGTGCCCCCCCACCCATTGTATGGCAAAAACACTGAACAAATTTTGTTTCCCAAATTTATTTGCTGGGAGATTTACATTCTATGGTATTTTTAAAGTTTGGATAATTTCGTATCAATTAATTCAGAAACCATTACTGAATGTCTTGGCAAGTTTAGGTATGGTTTGAGCAATATATCTTTGTTCTAAAAAGCCACTGTCCAGAAAGAGTTATGATTCAATTAAGGATATTGGTTTTTTACCTAATTATTAGCTTTACCTGATCATTCTTATCAACTTTTGATTGAAACAAAAATTGAATTTATTATGTCAAATTGCTTACAAAGATAACACATTATAACAATAGAATGTTCAGGTTTTGTAGTCATTTATTAACATTTAACTATACCTTGAAAATGACTATAAAAACTTCCTTTGATTCTCAGTAGACTTACTCAGTTGAATTCAATGGTCTTGAAGGAAATTTAGAGCTGAAATCAGACATTTACCTGTTCCAATAAACATGACATCATACTGGCCATCTTCTGCATCCACTCGATCCACTACAATTTGTGTAAACTGATAATTTACATCTGTTTTGACCATTATTGGGCGGTTATTAATAGGAAACACTGGATTGTACATGGCTGGATGACTTCTTGCAAATGTTATAACATCGTCAGGAAGGTCTTTGGTAGAGTCAAATCCACCAAATGTTTTGCTGGGACACTGATAAGATAAAGAGAAGGATATATTTTGATTAAAATATAGTTAATATGATTATAAATTACATATATATATATGGCTAAGCAACTGTCCAACTGGTAGCTATGAAGCGTAATCATCAGGGGGCAGATGCTCAACGCAGGAGCTGCTGAGCTGCGGTGACTTGGCAGCTACAGTTCTTGGGTGACACCCCCCAGAACCAGAGAGGAGGGAGCCCGATTCCGGGGCGCATCACCTGAGAACTGCCCTCTCCCAATCCGGGACCCCTCAGGGGATGTTGGAGAGCCAGTTTCAGCCCGATACCCCCAGGCCAGGCTGTGGGACCCCACTTGCTGGAGGGACCCTGCTCACTCTGCAGATGCCCTTGCAGCGGTTCTCAACCTGTGGGTCGCGACCCCTTTGGCGGTCGAACGACCCTTTCACAGGGGTCGCCTAAGACCATCCTGCATATCAGATATTTACATTACGATTCATAACAGTAGCAACATTACAGTTATGAAGTAGCAATGGAAATAATTTTATGGTTGGGTCACAACATGAGGATCTGTATTTAAAGGGCCAGAAGGTTGAGAACCACTGCCTTAGAGCCTTGGCTCAGCTCTAGGTGTAGACAGTTGGGGAGGGGATGTGGGAGGTTGGCTACAGGGCTTATCCTGCCAGTCTCGCCCAGCCCCGCCCCACGGGCCACCTTCTAATTAATATCCTTCAATGAGCAGGAATCTGTGTACCAGGGCACTAGTATAACAATATATGACATAAATGGCCTGTAATCATTGTTTAAGTAAAAGAAATAATGTTACTTACATGTTAGAGACATTCAGAATAATTTTTTAGATATATTTGATTTTTATCCTATGTATATGCCAAAATACAAATGCTCTTTTCAAACTAAAAGCCAATATAAACTATTCTTTATTGCTTTGTTTCTGGCATAACTCTGAAAAGGTACCACAAAACATATCAAAAGAACTATCACTAAAAAGTTATTTTAGGGATAAGAACAGGTATTATTAAGTGGGTAACCTGCAGGGAACTGAAACTGACCAATCAGAATGGACAAAGTAGAATAGATGAGGGCCATAGAGAGTCAGAGAGGATGCACTGTAGTACGCTGGCAAAATATCACCGCTGGATGTAAATGCTCCACATAAAGCAATAAGCCAAAAAGGAGAAAATTCAGATTTCACAGTCTCTTTTACTTAACTATGTGGTACAAGCACTCAGAGTAAAATATCTCCAGTCTCATGCTTTTTGTCTTCCACTTAAGTAATTTCTGCCACTTAACGTAACAGCTTTGGAGCTAAAGGAATATAGAGTTCTTATAAGAGAGTTAGAAGGAGAAATCAATTGTCTGTAATTACCTTGATATCTATCATTAATAATTCATGAGAAATAAAATAAATAAACCTGTTTTTAAAAAGAGTATGTATTTATGCATATATATGTATGTACACATTTGTTGTGTATATATATGTGTATATATATATATGTATACACACACACACACACACCCATACACATCAGTGTAACAGTTGAAGGATTTAAGGAATTATAAAATTACTTATTTTATATTACAGAAATATAAAAAAGCTTTATAAATTCTTAGAAGAAATGATAAAGCATATTTTTATGACATTTATCATTAGTTTTTGCTTTTCTACTACCATTTAAATATAGCTTGCAAAAATTTAGAAATGTGTGATTTAAAGTTACAGTAAAGAATTGATTTTTTTTTTATCCTATACCTGTGTCATTCTTTTGCCTTTCTGGACTTCTATTTTTGTATCTAGCATTACTTAGTTACAGGTTTTCCTTTAAAAATAAATGCCATCTATCATGGCTGGTGAGACTCAGTTGGTTAGAGCTTAGTCCTGAGGACCGAAGGGTTGCTGGTTCAAATCCAGGTCAAGACACATACCCAGGTTTTGGGTTTTATATCTGTTCAGGGTGCATAGAAAACACAACTTCTCTCTCTCTCTCTCTCTTTCTCTCTCTCTCTCTCTCTCTCATCACTGAAAAACATATCCTTGGGTAAGAATTAAAAAAGATAAATAAAAATATATATCATCTACTGACACATTATTTGAAGGTCACAGAATATTTTTCACCAGCAATGTGATGAAATGACAAATTCTCAGCTGCCACTTTTTGGGATTAATGAACTCATCCACGTAAATGTTATTCATGGAGTTAGGTGTTATCTCCTCCTGGCATCGTCTCCTTATTTCTACATCAGGCAATACTTTCTGCCTTCTGCCTTCTGCCTTCTGCCTTTAGCACTTGGTGCATGTGCTGACTTAATTTCCCACGTTATAACAACCCTCCATGAATACTGGGTGAGAGCACAGGCTAGAGACCAAACTGCCTAGACTGCATCCTAGATCCTATCCTTGCCTCAGAGTCCTTATCTGTGAAATGGGAACAATAATTGGGCTATTGAGTACAATATATATAAATAAGTATAAATCTCTTAAAACAGGATCTGGCACATAATAATTTCTAATTACTAATTTCTAATTATTTCTAATAATTCCAAATATATTTTACACACCTTCAGATAAAATACTTTGTAACTCCAAATAGTAGCATAATATCTAGCACATTGAAGTAATTCCAAGTTTGTTGAAGTGAACCTCACAAGAGTTTGTATTTAGAATACAGTGGCATTCATTAGCCATGGAGATATAAATAGCCATAGGGATATAAAAATGTCCACCAACAAAGTAAAAACAGTTTACTTTGAAATAGAATATATATCTTATGCTTTTTATAAAACCCATTGGGCTTCACATAATTAATAGATATTCCACCTTGTTCATTTATTCTGAAAGTTTATTTTTTTATCTATAAGATCCATCATCCAGAAATAATATTTGTAAAATGGAAAAATTTTAATTTGCTCATAAATAAGTGTAACAATACAGAAAAACAAGACTATTAAAAGAATTTGTCTAATAAAATCATAGAAAACATAACTTACTTAAATTTAACAGAATTTAAAAAAAACTGAAGTGAAATGAAAGTAATGGTTAGACTTCAAATACAAGTTTTTTCATCACACAAAATTACTTCCTTAAAGGTTCTTAGGATTAAAAAATGTCACACTTAAGTGAGTGGTTCTATGAAAATATTCTGTTACCTCTGATATCATATTAAGGAAGACTTCCTTCATTTGCTACCACACTGAAGTCTTTTCTTTTTCATCCCTACTTTAAATAGGATTCAAAGCTGGTTATACTTTGAGTTCTGTCCAATTTTTTTTTAAGCCTGCATATGCCCAGGGCTAGATGGTAAAGGAGAGTTTGGCAATGGGAGACAGCATCTCATAAAGTAATAGGTCCTGCTCATTCTATGAGATTTTTTTTCACATATTTTCTTTACCTACAATATTAGTTAAAAAACTTTTTCTCCATTTAAGCCTCTGCTATGATCAGAGAGGATAAGTCCAGGTGTAGCCTAATTATTCCAACTCTCCATAAAGGCCATTTTCACTATATCCCATTCAGAAAATAAAATAAATAAGCCTGTCCATTCAGTTTCTATTACTCAAAAATGATGGGTATTCATAACTGGTAAGCACTGACATTAAGCACTGATGTTCATAAAGAAGATGGTTTTAAACATGGAGTTCCATTGTATCACAGAAACCCTTTCCTTGCTTTCATTTATAGTCTGGGAATCCTGGTTTTACATAACCTGTATTTAATATCTGAGTAGAGCTGCTATTTTAAAATTTTAAGCAGACAGTTACTCTTTTTATATTTTAAGCATCTAGGCTACTTACAGTTCCTGGTCGTGGGTAGGGGACTCGTCCTTGATAAGGCACCCACTGATAGTTGGGACCATCCCTGTGAGCATATGGACCAAGGAACACCCTTCTCACATCACTCATGCTATACATACACACAGCTGACCCCTTGAAGATGTTACTGAAAAAGAGAGACAAGACAAGAACAAATTTTCATCTCTATACAATGGCAAAAGAACTGTTGATACTGAGTTCTTAAATTTTGAATATCAGTGATCAAAAAACACAAATTCTTAACAATATCAAATAGTTTTTGAGCTATTTAAATTCATCTATATATTTAAACAATACATAAGAAACAAATTATGATTCTCAAAAATAGAAGGCATAGAAGAAACCATCTCTATTATTTGTAGAATATATATTCATATAATGCATAATCTTTTATAGGAAAGACACATACACTGATATCCTAATGAATAATGTTTAATTTTGACATCAACTAGAAATAACAATATAAACTGTGGTAATATGGTTAAGACTCATGTGTCATAAATGAAACCAGGAAACTTTTAAACAAGAATGCTTAAGAATTCATTTTAAAGCTGAAATGAGCAGAAAATGAATAGTCAAGGTCATATGATGTGTTACATTATATTATTTTTAACTCCAAAACCACCATAAATATTAGATCAGCTAATTTTTGTGATGGTATTTAAAATCACTTCTTCCCAACACAGAATATCGTTTTAAGTCAGTAGCTATCACATCCTAGTCAAGGTGGAGTATTATAGCAATTATCCCCATCATTTTGCTAGACAAAAATCAGGTAATTGAAGCAAACTGGAAGTTTGCCATGAGTTTCCACAATTTTCCATTTTATTTTACTTATATAAATACATGTTGAGGGATGTATTTATACCATGATATAAAACAGTTGTGCACATTTAAAATATGGAATGCTTATCTTTTAACCAATCTTTCCCAGAGAAAATTACATATAAATCAGACCAAATGAAAAACATGTGTTTATAACATTTTATTATACAGAAATCACTGCATATATATATAATGTCTAGTGGAGTGCAAGCTTCATGAGGGATGAAAGCATGCCTGGATTCTTTTCTGTAGCTTCAGTTGCATATTGTAGGACCCCTGACACAGAGTCAATCTCAGTAAATAGCTGTAGAATTTAATAACAATCTATATATATAAAAGCCTAAGTGACTGTCCCACCCTTCAACTATCCGCCCAGTAGCTATGATGTGCAATGACCACCAGGGGGCAGACTCTCTGACCAGTAGAGGAGGGAGCCCAATCCCTTGTGGAATCAGCCGTGGGTTAGGTTGCTGCTGGGGAACTGTCAGCCCCGAATCTGCTTCACATGCACCCCGGACCCAGAGAGGAGGGAGGAGGAAGGAGGGAGGAGGGAGCCGGTGGGCATCCAGGTCCTTGGGGCTGGGCCTGCCGGAGGGGGTCTCACAATCCAGGATCCCTCAAGGGATGTCAGAGAGCTGATTTCAGCCTGATCCCCGCAAGGCCAGACTGAGGGACCCACATTCGTGCACCGATGGGTTTTGGCAGATCCCTGCAGGCCAGGCTGAGGGACCCGACCCATGCAAGAATCTGTGCACTGGGCCTCTGGTATTTTCATAATAGAAGAGCACGTTAATACACATATGATACATCATAGATTCTAATGTTTATATAACCATTTTTTATTGTTATATACTTTACTCATCTCTTGATGAAATAAGTCAACACTGAAAGACTTGATTATGATTTACAGCTGTTAAGACTAACTCACATGCAGACATCCATCTCACTGAAGAAGAGAGGCAGAATTATTTTACTCATTATTAAGCCAGTGATTTTCAAAGTGTGTTCTCTAAGAACAACAGCAGGGGCATCACCTGGGAATGTGTTAGAAATGCAAATTCTTAGGTCCTGCCCCATTCCTATAGAATCAGGAACTGTGGGGGCAGGGCCTAGCTATCTGTATTTTGACATGCTCTCTAGGTGATGCAATGAATGCTCAAGTGTGAGAATCACTGTACAGACATTGAGGAAGCAGAGAGATGGGTCAAAGTTTGTTTAATTTGGACCTCTCACATTCTTTAGTTGTCATTCAAAATTTAGGCTTGTATATCATTTTAGCAATATGGGTTTTTAAATTTTTCCTTGTTATTTTTAAAATTAAGTAAAAATATCCAATTAATTTTCAATGGCTTTAATATTTACAGAATAAATCAATTTTGGATATTGCAGTTAATCTTCCTCTTATGCTATCACAATCCCCTGAAGCATTTTACCTGACTTTTGATTTTAAATTACTTTTCTTTTAAACATTTATCCATATAGGAACACATATCCTTATTTATGTGCTTGTAAATATATTTCCTTGAAAAATTCTAGATAATGTAAACTTTATACTGAATGTAACAGAAAATAATTGATGTTTGATTTATAGCAAGAGCCTTGGGGGACATACAAAGTGGGGGAAAGAGGGGCAAAAAGGGAGGAAGAAAAAGGCAGAAAGGAGGGGGAGGGACAAAGAGTGAGGGAAGAAGAGGAGAAGAGGTAGGAGAGGGGAGGGAAAATGTTTTTTCACTCTTACTTTATATTACTGTAAACTTATAAAACAGATTCCCAGTTATATAAAATTTTACATTGCGCTCAATTTTTAAAATCAAAGCTATATATAGAATATGACATACATTTCCAGCATTATTTTTGTAGTGATATTTTTTGCTAAAATTTGTATTTTAAACTTATTTCAGCCATCAAGAATATACACCTCAAAGGTTACGCCACCACTGTTCTTCCATGAATATATTTTCACAAATTATGGATGCTTAGAAAGCACCTAAGGACATGAAGTTTCTATGATAATATGGTAAAAAGTTGTTTACCTGGAAGTTGTAAACACTCCATATACAATTGGATTTTTAGGATCTTTAGAATTCATTAGGAATATATCCTCTGTTTGAAAACAAAATTGAGAAAAGTTGCATTTTTTATTATTATGGCAAAGTTTGAGCAAACATTCTCTGTAAAATATCACCAGCTGTACTTACGAAGTTCATCAAAGTGAGTGTCAATGCCATTTGGACCTGGCACTGAGCAAATCAGACGAGCTTTGAGGAATGTCGTCCATTTATTCACCAGACTTCTGTGCCCCCCGAAGTCGTTCTGAAAGGAGAAAACACTGGTTTGGGGAACTTTGCATGCAAAAGCTAATCTCAAATATTTCTCTTATCTTGAGATAGGTTCATAATACAATTCCTCATATTTCAAAATGAGGAATGAGGAAATTTGAATGACATGATACAAATACCTGTGCTTTTTAATTCATATTGCTGGTCAAATTTATTCACTCAAACTTTATTCAAGGAATGACTTACAATAAATTTCCCTTAGCATTAAAAAGTCACTTTTCCATTCTTTTACCACTCTTCAGCAAACAATTATTACTGTTGTTTTCATTTTGGTTTAGTTTCAGTCTCTCTCTCTTACATATGCATTTCTTAAGATCTTACTTAACTTAGTTCATAGTAGTGAATACACTGGCACATAGTAGGCACTTAATAAGTATGTACTGAGCCTGGCCTGGGGCTTAGTGGTTGAATGTGAACTTTTGACCCAGGAGCTCAGAATACATGCCTGGTTTGGGGGCTCAATCCCCAGTAGGGGGCATTCAGGAGACAGCCTCTTGATAAATCTTTCTCATAATTGATGTTTTTATTTACTGAATGAAAGAATAAATGCATGCTTTATAACCTATACTGAAAATACATCACAAAAAAGTATGCTAGCACTGAATATAAGTTTAAACAGTTGAAGTAATGATGACTTTACTAATAGCATATTGAAAAAAATATTTGCATAAACCTTAATAAAGGAAACTGATTCCAGAGATACATTTTGTAAAAGTCCCTTCAAAAATATAATGATTTATATTTTGTTTATGTGATTTTATATACTATAAATATTTTTAAACTCATGTAAGTAGTGCTTTTAAATATATATTTTGTGAAGAAAAGATTCTCATATGTTTTACATATTATTTGTTTCCAGATTTTAAAAAAATTTAATTTTCAAATAATTTATATACTAGAAGTAAATAAATGGATCATGATTGAGGTAAGAAAGAGGCTAACCTACCTTCCCAAACAGAGATTATTAAAATTTCATGTTATTTTCTTAGAAAGAATTCCCTGTGTTGGGCAATTATTGGACTGGCTTTGTGAGTCTCCTGAGATGAAAGTTGCTTTAATATATAATAACAGTTGACTTTGTCCATATTGCACATATATTGTACTATACAGTGGTAGAGGGGAAATTAGTACCGTTATCATATCTTCATACTGATATTAATCAATCCATAAGTATCAATCAATTTTTATTATATATATATATCTAACATTATAATGCCATATTACATTTAATTTTGTGTCATGCAGTAAATAATTACTCAGATCAATTTCAAAGCTTAAAAATTATGTATGTGCATATGTACATAGGATGTTATAATAATCAATTTATAAAAAAAAGATTTAATACTTTTATATTAATACTTTAGTTAGCCTAACAACAAATATTCATTAAAAAATTATACATTATAGGAAAGTGTGCTAGGTCTGAGGATACAAAAAAGTATATATTCTCCTAGGTAATATAAAAGATTTATTTCTCTAGAATTTCAAACTAAGACCACTTAATATAATTTTGAAGCAATGCCTCACAACCTCTGCTTGCTTGTTTGACTATGAAGAATTACTCATAAACAATGATATGTTTTCAATCATTTTTTACCATTTAAATATTTATAATGATAATTCAAGTATTTTAGTCAGATTTTTCATTGCATTTGCACATAGGAGGTAATAAGAAATAAAATTGTGATTCAACAGTATCTTCCTCAATTTATTTTTCTTTACCTCACCTTGCATATCTGACCTATTCTAGCATGAGTGGCTTTTCCAGTGTGTTCTCCGTCTATCGCATTTTCACGGAAGAAAAAATATACTTTGTCATCTTCAGGGTTGTCACTCTCTGGGATGAGGTGGGCACTAATGAACCTTGGATCTGAGAGACAAATTATAGGATATATATTAATTCACACTTGGATGGATAATACCATTCATTACAGTACATTTTCACTGTCTTTTAACTCCTATTTGATATATTTCAAGAACTAATCTTTGCTTAGTTCACTTTTTCCAGTATTTGTAAACCATTCTTTTTTTCAAATGACAGTTGACATTTAATATTATTGTATATTAGTTTCAGGTATACAGCATAATGGTTAGACAATAATATAATTTACACGGTACTCCCCACAATAATTCTAGTATACACCTGGCACCATACACCGTTATTCAATATTATTGGCTGTATTTCCTATGATAAACTTATATCCCATGACTACTCTGTAACTGCAAATGTGTACTTCTTAATTCCTTCACCTTTTTTTACCAAGGTCCCCAACCAGTCTCCCCTAAGGCACCAGAAATTTGTTCTCTCTATCTATGAGTTTGTTTCTGTTTTGTTTGTCCATTCTTTATGTATTTTAAACTATGTTACAAGTTACCTTATATGTAATAAAAACATTCATTATTTTTTTCCCAGAAAGTTAGGACTGGGTGCAGAAATCAGCAGTGTGACCACATAGTTCAAATGCATTACTGTATAAAAAAATATTTGGCAAACTTTAAGTGCTATCTAATATTACTTATTGCCATCACCACTGTTATTCTGCCTTTCAAGCATAAGATAGTCTAAATCAAACTACCTATTCATCTATTCCAGTTTCCAGCAAAAATTAGGTAGGAGGGGAGAAATGAGATCCACATAATACAATAAAACATAAATCCTGTCATGTTGTTCTCATCTTGGTGAACAGAAATATCATTTACCAGGCACTCAAGCCAAAAACCCTGGAGCCACCCTTGAGTCCTCTGTCACATTCCACATTCTATCAGCCTATCCCTATTTTCACCATTTCCTACCACATCCTTTAAGACCTGCCCCTCCCAGACCACCATTGCTAGCAGTAGACACCTTATAGCCTCTTTGATTCTACTTTACCAACTTTGGCCCACTTCTCCACACAACAGCCAGAGTGAACCTCTGATATGTCACTTCCCTCTCTAAACCCTCCTGTATCTTTCTGAACCACTCACAATGAAATATTAATTCTTATAGTAATCAGAAGCCCTGTATGATCCAGCCCCTGCTACCTCACATGCCTTTTCTTCAACCTATCTTTCCGTCCCTAAGTCACTCCTAGTCAGCCATGCCTCCCCCTTTTGGTTCTCAAACAAGGCAAGCTCTCTCAGTCCTGCCTCAGATCATTCTTGCCTGGTATCTCTCTGCCCTCCTATATCCTCAAGTGTGGGTTCCTACTTCTACTCAGGTCTTTGTTCAAATATTACATTATCCAAAAGGCCCTTGTTGATTACCTTCTTTAAAAGCATTGAAATCCTTACTCCAGGGCTTTTTTAAAAAAAATAAACAAACTTATTTTCATTCATCATTTTTGTTCCTAAGATGGTTCATTGTCTGCTATTAAACAGCTCTCTGCCTCTCTCTATATCTAATATTAGAGGCCCGGTGCATGAAATTTGTGCACTTGAGGGAGGCTCCCCCAGCCTGGCCTGTGCCCTCTCACAGTGTGGGAGCCCCATGATTGATTGCCCCAAAGAGGTAGGCCAGAGCCGGGTGTCCCGCCTCTGCACCGTGTGGAGCCGTGGGACCCCCAGGCCTTGCTGCACGGAGCTGCCAGGCCCCCCGGCATTGCCGCGCAGAGCCGCTGGGGCCTGCCTCCACACCGCACATGCTGCTTCAAGTCCCTGCCCACTCGCGTACCCCTGCTACGCACATAGTCTCCTAGTAATGAATTGTGATGGTGTGAGGGTATGACAACCATTTACATATTAGCTCTTTATTATATAGGATTCATTTGCTTATTTTCTTTTCTCCCTCCATCCAATGCAGTATAATTTCCATGAGAATAAGAACTTGGCATGTTTCGTTTGGTGCTATGATTCAATAGCCTAAAACACAGTGAGCAGTTAACAAATATCTGTCCTAGGAGGGAAGGAAAGAAAAAAATAAAAAATAAAATAAGACTGCCTAGATTGTACATAGGGTTTAGAGTCCTACTTCAAAAAATGCTTCTGTAAATACCTGAGTTGATATGGTTGTGACTCATACAAACTGTATAAAATATGTACTAGCTTCACGACTTTACTATGTAACATACTAAGAAGTTGAGTTTCTCTTACTGAGAGCACTTAGGACATTGCAGGTATTTAAATTCTTAGAGTAATCTACCTATACTCCCATGGTGTATTATGTTAACAATGAAATATATGCCCACAGGTCAGCCTTATACTTAAGAGACCAGAAAAGAATTCAGAATCCTAAAACCAGATTTATTGATGTTGTTGAGTCCTAATCTTTACACCTGTGAATAATCATTGTTATCCTCTTTTCCATGCTTGTAGCCTTCCTTTAACATTTGTTCTGGGACCATGTATTTAGTATATCTCACAGGGCCACACTCCACTATCCTTCTTAGGCAAATTATACAGACTCTCTAAATAATGTAAAACATATGAAACATTACTATTCACTTTTTAAGTTCAGTGTTCCACTGTAATCAGAGTAGGAAAATAGTAACTTAAAAATTGGAATCACTTAGCACCAGAATTTTTTAGATACATAAAATAATGTATTACTTTAACCTTAATAATTGTTTGCAAATCTGGCCTTCATAAAATTGTACTTGTTCATATATTTAGAAAGTTGAGAGGAATAATTAATGTGACAGTAGGAATTTTAATGTACAAACCAAAGAAGTATTACCTCACTGATGAAATTAGACTCCTAGAAATGAGGTGTGAGTGTATGAAAAAACACAGTTCATCACTTGCACCTTTTGTGACTTTTTTTTTTGAGAGAGAGAGTGGGGAAGGGACAGAAAGAGAGAAACATGGATGTGTGACAGAAACATCAATTGGTTGCCTCCTGTACATGCCCCAAATGGGGATGAAATCTACAACCTGGATATGAGCCCTGACCTGGGATTGAACCTGCGTCATTTGGGTGTATGGGATGACAATCCAATCAACTGAGCCACCTGGCCAAGGTTTCTGTGACCTTAACAATACTCTTACTTCTCAGATACCAGATGCCTAAAATTGGGTTCTATTCACCCTGTATGTTACAAATAGTTTATATACAAACAAATATTTTACTATTTTTAATTAAATTTATTGGGGTGACATTGGTCAACATGAACATATACAAGCAAATATTTTAAACTTAAATAGTGTTGTGAAACAATTTTATAAAATGTTAACAAAGGTATTATGTTATTATTAGATGATACCAAAAGGAAGCCTCAATCACATATTCAATTTAAGGGATGACATTAAAATCCAGCTACAAAATTTTTATTTTTAATTATAAAAACCTCACACATTGTTCTGCGTTAGTCCTGGAGCAATGGAGAAGAAGTTGGTCTAATATTACCTCCCAAATTAGTGCAGTTGTTCATATAAATACTTTAATAACTTAAATAATTTCAAGCAATTAAATCCAACTACCTTTTATTTCATCATAAGTATTTATAAGACACCATGTAAAAATCAAAATGAATAATATATATTTGTTCCCGGAAAGCTATAATCTAACAAAAGCAATGCTAGAAGCACAAAAACAACAACAATGCAAAGAAATTTTACATGTATAAATATTCTCTTGTTGTTTGGGCATGAGAGAAGTCATACCAAGCATTATGTTCGCTTTCTAAAATATGTCAGCATAATTATCGCTTACAAATGTGGAAGCTAATGAGAAATAATTCAAGCAACTTATGAAGTACTTGGTAAAAGGGTTTTCAATCCTTATTTCTCCTTCAGTATCTGATACTACAGGAGTAGAGGATATTGTAGACAAATTAACAGTTTGACATAGCTTCAGATACAGCCCAAACCTAAAATTACACATGGAAAATAACAGCTAAATTTATTAAAATAGAAAAAAAGAACATCAAAGAAAAATAATGCCAATTTAATAAAACTTATATTAAGAAATTTAGATTATATCTTATACTTGAAAAAGATTAATTCTTATTTTAATAAAATAGGTGTCTCTATGTGATCTCTTCCAAAAATTTAAAATAAATAATTTTCTAATATTTCAAATTTAGAAATTCTTCTTTGATCAAAACCTCTGCTCACTATTCATATTCTATTTCGTCAATCCCCCAATTTTGCCTTTTCTTGTGTTATTTTGTCCTCTTACCCCCTTTCTCATCCCCTTCCAGTGGTCGGCAAACTGTGGCTCATGAGCCACATGCGGCTCTTTGGCCCCTTGAGTGTGGCCCTTCCACAAAATACCAACTTCTGCTCATGGGCCACGAAGTTTCAATCGCACTGTACATGCACGCCCGCACATGGCATTTTGTGGAAGAGCCACACTCAAGGGGCCAAAGAGCCGCATGTGGCTCACGAGCCGCAGTTTGCCGACCACTGCAGACTATTCCTCTCCTCACTGGTGAATTCTCTTTATTCAATCTGAACATTCTAATCAGTCATTCTAATTGTCTTCCCTATTTCCCTCGGACCTCTTAGCCTTATGAACATTCACTATACCTGCTGTGCAAAACCCAGAACTTTCTTCCACTTGCTTCTACATCTAAGCAAGGATAAAGAAAATCATGTAGTAATAGTAAATGGGTGTGCTATAAATTCACTCTATCTTAAATAAGAATCTTGGTGTCTCTACGGAATTATAGATGTACTAACAACTACTTTTAAAAATCATTCAGATTGTCTTAAAATCAAAATGGTACTATCACCTCTCACTTTACATTCCAAAGATGGACTTGTTATTTGCTATAATGATAAGACCGAGCCCACCCTCCTTTTTCTTCCCTCATCCCCCAATTTTTCTTTTTTTCCTTTCTGTGGAGAAATGAGTTATCCTTTCAGTCTAAGACTTCCCTTTATTTGCCATCAATCCAATAATGTACAGAATATTACTCCAATAATAATCTTTCTTCTTCATGCAATCAC